TTGCATTCATCTGGCGAACATAACAAAATAGGAGACTAACACCCAAGAATAGCCGAGATAAGTACCAGGAGGATTACTCCGTGGCTTTGAGGACAGCCACACATGCTTGGGGAAACGACAGCTCAGATAGAGAAGGGAATACCAAATAAAGGGTGTTGGGAGGTTCCTCTCGGGATGGGAAATGCGTGATGAGAGTAGACTATAGTCCAAACAAGATTGCCACTCAGTGTCTCTTTTGCAAACCACAGCACTCAAAAGGAGAGAGATAACAAAAGAGAATGCCCTGCCACAGAGGTAGGGTGGGATAGGGGTTTGGGGGGTGGGAGGGATACTGGAACTGGTGGTGGTGGAGAATGGACACTGGGATGGGTATTCGATCATTGTATAACTGAAACCCAAGCACAAAAATTTGTAAGTCCACAACTGTACCTCATGGTGTTTCACTAATAAAATTTAAGAAAAAAAATGTCTTCTGTTCAGACACAGAAATATGCTTCTCATAGACATCTTCAAGAAAGTCTTTTTGTTTTCCTGGGAAGAGTGTGGTTAGGTGACATAGTTCAATTGTAAATTCTTTGAAGCCCACCTTTCATTTCGATGGAGGCCATATTTTGCCTAGGGTGGTTCCAGCCATCACTGAGGAAGACTTGAATATAAAAGTCCATTCATTTTTATCTCAGTGTGAATCTCTCCATCTAGAGCTACCTGGTCCCAAACCAGTATCTTCCCTTCTCACCTTTTACTTGAACCAGTCTCCTCCCTTCTCACCTTTTACTTTCTTTACTCTATCTATCTGTATCTCAGTTGTTGTATTGTATTGTCCTCCCTTTGTTCATTGTTGTTCATTTGCTCGAGAGGCCACCAGTAACATCTCACAACAAATTGTGAGACTTATCTGTATCTCAAATGACTCAAATGATAATCTGTTTACAAGCTTCCTCTAGTTACCCTAGATTCAGCTTTATTGCCATTTCTATTGACAGCTAGAGGTGATATTACCCCAGTTCCTGGGACAAGCTGGTACTTTACTGAAAAACAGATATAACTGTTTACTGATTCATCTTCTGTGCCCTGCACTGCTACAACTAAAATGTATTCACCAGGCAATACTCAGGGACTACTCCTGGTTCTGTGCTCAGGGATTACTCCTGTTGGTGCTCAGGGGACAATACTGGGTTCTAGTAGACTGCATGCAAGGCAAACACCCTACTCTGTATCATGGTACCTTCCCTTACATTTTAAAAGATAAAACAGAGCTTTATGACCAGACAGTACAAAGATTATAGTGTTTGTCTATATGTGGCTGCTGCAAATTTGTTGGTCCCTTGAACATCAGAGGTTACTACTGAGAACAAAGCCAGACACATCCCCTTCAAGCCCCGTACAAGCAAACCAAACAAACACGTTTTTATTATTTTTTAGGTCATCCTCGGTGGAGCTCAGGATTACTCCTGGTTCTGTACACAGGAATCACTCCTTGCGATGCTCCCAGACCCGTATGGGGTGCCTAGTTTAGAACCTGGGTGAACTGTGAGCAAAGCAAGTGTCCTACCCGCTGTTCTATCACTCCGACCCTCACACCTTTAACTAAGGCCAAATAACTTAAATAAGAAAAAAGACAGATAAAATACAGAAATTATCTTGAATGCATATAATATATTGACTAATATATTTAAAAAAAATTTTTTTTTATCTAACATGAAACCCAGTGTGAAATACTTTTCCAAGATCAGTTGTCCATGATGATATTAATAGGCTCACAGGATTTTGTTTTGTTTTGTTTTGTTTTTGGGCCACACCAGCAATGGTCAGGGGTTACTCCTGGTGATGCTCTGGGTACAGTATAGAGTAAAGGATTTTGAACTCACATCAGCTGTGTGCAAGGCGAGGCCCTAGCTACTGTTCTACCTCTCTGGTCCCAATAAGTTCAGGATCTAACCTAAGTAGAGGAATTCAATATTATGTATAGTCTATATACACCTTGGTGAGGTGGGGGGTGCACACCCAGTGATGTTCAGGTGTTACTACTGACTGTGTTCAAGGACCACTCCTGGCGAAGTTCCAGGGATTCAAACTGGTGCTGGGCTTGAATCCAGGTCAGACGTGTGCAAGGAATGCGTCCTGCCTGCTGTATTATTTCTCTAACCTTTAATGTTAATACTCTTTTGGTCCTTGGAAGGTATCAATCTCAAACTATAATCTGTTAGTGTTTGGGAAACCATACTGGTTATACATAATAGGGAAACATAAAGGTACAGGCTTAGGGAAATAAAATACCTCCTTCCCCCACACTAATCTGAATTCATGGGTTTTTGTTACTCTGGGAATCAAATTTTAAATAAATGCTTCAATTTCTCACCTTTTATTTCAATAAAGACTATTTCCAAGGGGGTATGGTGCTGCCAGCAGGTCAATCTATACCTGTGAGGCCAGCCTGATGGTGCCTTCAGACTTCCAGATACCCCAAAATTGCTGCTGTGACTTTGGTCAGAACCCAAAAACTTGGGGCAAAGTTTACCAAGAAAGTAAATGACCAAAAGTTAGGTATGTGAGAGACACACCCACAAACCACCTCAGGCTCAGCTATATAATTGACCTCTCTGGTTCCTGATTGAACTGCTTAACGGCCATGATCCCAGAGACTCAGAAACAAACCCAACGGCTTTTGGCAGAAATGTGTCCAGTCCCTGCAGTAGGGGGCTGGAGCGATAGCACAGCGGGTAGGGCATTCGCCTTACAAGCGGCCAACATGGCCAACCCGAGGTCGATTCCTGCGCCCCTCTCGGAGAGCCCGGCAAGCTACCGAGAGTATTCGATATGCCAGACACAGTAACAACAAAGTCTCCAATGGAGACGTTACTGGCCCGCTCGAGCAAATCGACGATCAACGGGAGGGCCTTTACCTTTTACCCTGCAGTAGATTACCGGCGCTCAGCCAACCCAAGTGGGAATAGGTTTTGTGCCTTGGCCTGTTCCCCTTGGTGGCCCAGTGGCCGCCATTCTCCAGAGGCCACTGGATAGTCAGGTTTGGGCCCGCAGTGAAGAGACACACGGGGCCTCATGGGATGGGGGTGGAGCTGGCCCTTTCCTCCCCAACCCAATGAGACCCAGAGTTGCTGCCCACAAACGGCATCTTTGGCTCCTGATCAAGCTTCTTAATGGCCATGATCCAGAGACTCAGAAACAAAACTCAAAACTTAGCGCCTTTTGGCAGAAATGTGTCCGGACCCTGCAGTAGGTTAATAACACCAGGCCACCCCAGGAGGGAAAGGGTGCTGTCCCTCTACCTGCTCCCCCTTGGCGGCTCAGCTGCCGCCATCCACCAGAGACCATTGAACAGTGAGGTTTGGGCCCTCAGTGACGAGACACATGGGGCCTCACGGGATGAGGGTGGAGCTGGTCCTTTCTTCTCCACCCTAATGAGACCCCAAGTCGTCGTCCATGAACGGCCTCTCTGGCTCTTGATCAAGCCTCTTAATGGCCATGATCCAAGAGATTCAGAAACAAATCTCGAAACTGAGTGGCTTTTGAAAGAAATGAGTCCAGTCCCCCCAGTAGGGTACTGTCGCTGAGCCATCCAGGGGGGAAACAGTGTTGTCCCTCCTCCTGGTCCCCTTAGGCAGCTCGGTGACCACCTTCCTCCAGAGGCCACACGGACAGTCAGGTTTGAACCTTCAGTGACGAGACACGTGGGGCCTCACGGGATGGGGTGGAGCCAGCCCTTTCCTTCCCATCCCAAGGAGACCGTGAGTCTCCACCCATGAATGGCCTTTCTCGATCCTGATCAAGCTGCTTAATGGCGATGATCCCAGAGACTCAAGAACAAATCTCGGAACTCAGCAGGTTTTGGCAGAAATCCCTCCAGATTTAAGTGTTAAAATTTTGAAATTTCAAAATCACGTGGCTACTACTACAGCCACGCAACATCATATGTTATTCTTAACCAGCAATAGAAAACAAATTGTCCACTGTTGCCTTTTCAGTAGATCTGAGTGTTGGGGTAAAATCCCAAATAATAATGGTGGGTCTGGTGTCAAAATATTGAATGTGATCAAAGTCGAGAGAGAGTAATGTGGAAATCATCTCCCCCACAGGTAGGGGGAGGGTGTAGGATGGGGGTATACTAGGGTTTTTTTTGTGGTGGAGAATGGGCACTGGTGAAGTTACGGATGTTTCATTGTATGACTGAGATTTAAACCTGAAAGCTTTGTAACTGCTTTCACACCGATTCAATAAATAAAATTATAAAAAATAAAAAAAAGTAAGGTGGAGTTCATGCCCAATTAATCAGCTAATCAGTGCCTGAATAAATAGCAGTACTCCTACATAAAAAAAAAAAAGACTCTTTCCAAGTGGTTCAAACAATCTTCTTATCCTCATAACGTAGACTATAATGTTAACATAAAATATTGTCATCATCCTTTCCACAGAATAAATTTCTCCTCATTACCTAACAGTCCAGTATTCTCTTCTGCATTAGGGTTTGAATTACACACATCACATCCTTAATTTTTGCTCAACTAGGTCCATGGCTAATTTTTTTTATAAACAACAAAACTGTATCTGAATCTCTATTCCACAAAAAAGTTACTTTTAAATTAATTTCCAACTGCCGAAAAATAGTGGTGGATTAAATTTCGCCAAGCCCTAAATCCAGAAGTCCCCTCACGCATGCACACGCCAGGTGCGTACACAGAACTACAATTCCCGTCCTGCCCTGCGGCTCGTTCGGGCGAACCCATAAAGGCCGCTCTACTTCCTCCCGCGCAGCCGGTGCATACTGGACTTTGTAGTTTATGTCTATTTTGCTTTTCTCGTCCTCTTGGTGAGAGGTAGGTGCAGCCGGATCGACGGCTCTAAATACCGTCTTAAAAAAAAATCTTCTTTAAAAAAAAAAAGCCAATAAGATTACGTAATCCAAGCCCATCTAGGGGCCGAATTCTAGCGCTCACGTTTCGCCTTCCTCTTATCGCCCGGGCCCGGGAAGGGGGAAGTGACGTGTTTCCGGTGTCATGGCGGCGCGGTGGAGCTGCAGGTAATTCCCGAACTCGGCCGACTGGTCGTCGGTCGCGAGTCGGAGTTGGGGGGGATCGCTAGCTGCCGGGCTGCATTGGGGAGTGAGGGCGACCAAAGAACGGGTGTGAGCGGGCTGGCAGTGCTATGGGGGGCGCGGGGACGCGTGTGGCCGTTCGCGCGCCGCGGGTCAGGCCGAGGAGCCCCTGATGGTGGGGAAGTGGCGCTGGCGGCGTCTCTCCGCGCCGGCTCCTTAGGCCCGGCCGCCCCGGGAGTTTCTGGGCAGGGGGTCTCCGCGGCGGGTGGTACCCGAGCCCAGCCCCGCGCGGATCTATCTCTCGGCGGTCGGGGGAATCCCCTCGTGGGGGCGCCCTCGACGCCCCCGCTGTAGGCGGAGCGCTGGAGGAGCACCAGCCAGTGAGTTGAAAATAAAAAGAGTGGAAATTGCGCTCGAGTGCCTCTCTCGCCCAATCGCCCTTTGACAGCTACTTGAGAATTCCACTTCTGGTTCCTTTTGTGATCAGGTGTGCCACAGGTGTGTCTTCTCCGACCCCCTGAGCCCCCTTTACGGGCAGGTCCTACGTTTTTAAGTCCTTGGTATACGCAGAGACTTAGTCTTTGCCCGGGCACGTTTTCCTTCACGCTGGTCCCCCCCCCCCGCCCCCCAACCCTATCCCTTTCGTTGCTGATGACCATCGCTCTGACAGCTGAGTCTTGGGTCCAGCGTGCCACTGTGCCACTGCATCAGTCCACCCCATTCATCGAGGGCACTTAGGTTGCTTCGGGGACTGCCGATGCAGAGAGCCAGGCCTGCGGTGCACCGAGCTCCTGGCACTTGAGTGTTTTTTTGTAGTCTGCAGATAGATTCCTTTCGATGTGTCTGTCGATCCTTCTCTTGTCAACTCCCCGCAGTACGCGGCTGACTCCCAAACCGAGGCCTCTTCTCTCTCTCCCCGGCTCTGGGGCTCAGGAACCGACATAACGAGTCTCTTGCAGAATTAGGGGATGGAAAGTAGAAATTGCATTTCCGTTGTGCTAAGAGTAGAAGAAGCAGTATTGTAAGTAAGAGCACCTGGGTCTCAGGGGGCAGCTAGTATGCCTTATTACATTTTTAAATTTCACCTTTTGTTGTATTTGGTGATATGGTTAAGATATGGGTATAGCCATGTGGTGATGATGTTATGATGGTGTTTGTGCTTAGAGTTTTGATGTATAAAGTCACTGCACATCCATGACCCTCCACTGCTGTCCCTATGTCACCTCTGGTCCAATGATCCCTCAATCTTGTACAGTAAAGTAAACTTTACTACAATTTTAATGTGCCCTAGACTAACTCTACCTATGCTACTCTGTTACTTCCGGTCCACTTCATGGAATGTGTGTGTGTGTGTGTGTGTGTGTGTGTATTTGTGTGTGATATTTTCAGGTCTAATCTAGTGACCAAGGTTTTATTACTAGTTGATACTGTCAGTGCCTTTGATTTGCTTCTCTGTTTACCACATACTAGTGAGGTCAGCCGGTGTTTGCCCTTCTGATTCAGTTTACTTTGTTTAAAATGATACTCTCTAGTTCCATCCAAGTTTCTGTGGGTTGCTTAACATTTTGTGTGTGTGTGCACTTTTTTTTTTTGGTCACACCCAGTGATGCTCAAGGGTTACTCCTGCCTTTGCACTCAGGATTTACTCCTGCCAGTGCTCAGGGGACCATATGGGATGCTGAGGATTGAACTGGGTTGGGCCATGTTCAAGGCAAACGCCCTACCTACTGTGCTGTAGCTCTTGTCCCTTGCTTAACTTTTTTTTTTAATACAACACATCTTATCTGTATTGTATTTAATATTTTAATATTGCCTATAAATAGGAATTAACTTCATGTATCATCCCACTGTGGACAAATGAATTCACAATTGGCATGAAGTGTGATTTTGATTGTAAAACCCAACCAGAAAATGGAGAACTACTTATGTTGGTTCTCTAGTAAGCCAAATTCGCTCACTGGCTAAGCACTTGTGTAAGCACTTGCCTAATATCTCTACTCTCAGCTTTCCCACCTGGAAATGTGGAGAATAATCATGCCTATTTCCAGTGTGTGAGGATGAAGAGAAAGGATGTATTTTTATCACTGCACACAGTGTCTGGAATACAGTATCAGTTGACATGTTTGTAGAATTTGTAGTTTATGAATTCTGCCTGATAGAGTTTATGAATTCTCTTTGTGCTTCAATTCTTATTTTTTGCTCTGAATGTTGCCCTTCCTCTCTCTCTCTCTCTCTTTTTTTTTCATTTTTGCTTTTTGGGTCACACCCAGTGTTGCACAGGGGTTACTCCTGGCTCATGCACTGAGGAATTACTCCTGTCCATGCTTGGGGGACTATATAGGATGCTGGGAATCGAACCAGGGTCGGCTGCGTGCAAGGCAAACGCTATACCTGCTGTGCTATCGCTCCAGCCGTGCCCTTTCTCTTAACTGTTGATGCCACTTTCTTATAGTTTTTTTCACCCCATTTGACTGGGCTGTCAGACTTAAGAGGTCAAGAGTAATTAATTTATCCCAGTAGTGATGAACATCTGGGTTCCTGCATCAGTATCCCCATGAGAGTTGTTAGCAGTGTCCATTCTTGTATCTCTGGTTTTGTTGAGTCAGAAATAGGAAAGGGGGCCCACCAATTCATCCATGTATTTCTCAGGCCAGTTAGATAGTCACTTGCACTTAACCATATGGGATTCTGTTGTATGGGTCACGCTACCTGCATCTCCAACCTGTAGTTTGCTTCCTTTCTTCCTCTAAAGTATTGGATTCATGCTCAGTCGGTGTTTCAGTTACAAAACTGCCACACCATTCTCTGCTTTGGATAAGTTAATTCGAGGCCTTTCTGGAATTCACTCTTAGGTTACTTTACTGTCTTTCTTAGACCCATTTATGTAGCCCTCTCAGTGTTTCTACTACTGAATCGTTGGAGGTTAACTCTTCTCCCTGATGATGGTATATTGCGTAATGACCTTTAGTGGGTTATTGTAACTGAGCACACAGTGACACACTGTGTATTTCTGATGCTCATGCCTTGATTATTATTAGGTATTTATTGCCACTTATGTTTATACTGAATTTTGTACTACCTTATGTATTCCTGTGTTGGTATAAGTCATGGTGGGTAGAGCTAGCCTGAGAAAGTAGTGGTTATAGTCCATGAAGGTGATCCCACTAATGACTTTGAGAACTCCTTTGTTACATTTCTCTAATTTTCTGTTTAAGTCTGAGATTCCTAGCGTGGTTGGTTGATGAGACAAAATGATAAAACAAAACAAAAACGCTTTTGTTTTGGCAGACTTCTAAACTTACTAAGCCTGTACTGCAAGTATTTTATCTCAATCTATAGATTTTCTATGGAAAATAGAAGAGACTTTTTTGGTTCACATCCTATTTATGGGCAACCCTGGCTTTGTGCTTTGGGGACCATGCAGTGCTGGGGATCAAACCCAGGCCTTGTGCATGCAAAGTGCTGTGACATCTGTAGCTATCTTATTTGAGGGGGTGGGGGGCATTGGGGCTGAACCTGACTGTACTTAGGGCTTACTCCTGATTTTGTGAACAGAGGTTATCTCTGTAGAAAATATTTCAATTTTTATGACCTTAATGGAGATTTTTCTGCACAGCTGCAAACTTTAACACAAAATGAACATATTTAGTAGAAAACAGTGAAACCATTTCTTTACCACAAAACTACAGTTTTAGTTTTGCATATAAAGTTGTTATTATGAAAATGGAAATTAATTTAGTTAATTGCTAAATCAGGAACATTTATGATAGTAATATCTGTTCATTGAGTGAGATGGCTATGGTTAAAGAGGAAGACTAAATCATGTTTCCAGGTACTGAGATGTGAACTAGTGCTATGTGGAAAAACTAAGGCAAGAGTGAATTTGGATTTTGAAGTGGCAACAGAGATGTCCCTTAGAGTTTGGTTTTATTTACTAATTAGAGGAACATCTATGAACTATTCATTTAAAGAATAATAGTATTAGGAAAAAGCAAAGGCAAACGGCCAGGGCTCACCAACGACTGTCATCCCAGGGACATTAAAAGATGTGTCAGAAGTGGGATTCGAACTTATGCCTCCCTTTGGAGACCAGAATCCCCGGGGCAGGGAAGCAGACCTTGAGTTTGGCGCCTTAGACTACTTGGCCATCGTGACACCCTGACATCCTGGAAGTTGGGCTGGAGCGATAGCACAGTGGGTAGGGTGTTTGCCTTGCACCCGGCTGACCTGGGTTCGATTCCTTCGCCCCTCTCGGAGAGCCTGGCAAGCTACCGAGAGTATTTCGCCCGCATGGCAATGCCTGGCAAGCTACCCGTGATGTATTCGATATGCCAAACACAGTGACAAAAAGTCTCATAATTTGTTGTGAGACGTTACTGGGCCCACTCGAGCAACTTGATGAACAATGGGACGACAGTGCTACAGTATCAGGAAATAGATTTTTGATACAGGAGGCATAGATACAAAATTTTTATTTTAAGGGAGAAATTGAGAGTATAGTAAGAATTTATTATAGTGCAATGTAGCATATGAAGACTTGGGTTTCCTTACTGGCGGCTTTGCAGGTATTAAAGGGATTTCTTTAGCGAGGAGGGGGTGGAATACAGTGAAACCCTACTAGTTAGTGACGCACAAACTTGTGTATACACACACACACGCACTTCAGTATTGATTTTTAAGGGAAGTTTTTGTTTCTTGATTTTTTTTTTTTTTGGTGGTCACACCCGGAGATGCTCATGGTTTATTCCTGACTCTGTGCTCAGGAATTATGCCTGGTGATGCTCGGGGGACCCTATGGGATGCTGGGGATCGAACCTGTATCTGCCATCTGTAAGCCAAGTGCTCTTCCTTTTCTGCTGTCTCTCCAACCCCTTTAGAGGCAAGTTGTTAAACTAAAATTAATTTCCCTCTTAACAAGAGAGAAAGATAATCTCATCATGGATCTTTCCTGTATAGAGTCTTCTCCCAGCCTCCCACATGCAATA